TAAGTCGATGTTGATACACATGTCTCCCTAATGTAAATCAGGAGGGCTTGAGGGATGATTGTCTTTCCCCGTGTCAATATTGCGAAAATTCGTTTGGCGACCTACAATTACTCTCGAAAGATTATGTTTTAGAACGTGTTTACAAATATAGATTGTGGAATTAGGCAACAAATTTTCTTATCGAAACATAGTTTTTTAGGATAGAGAACCTTTAACAGTCATCTTATAGGAACCTCAGCACCAGTCCAGACATTCAGGATAGGCATGTGCTGTAAGCACGACTCGCGAGAAGCCAAGATAAGCGGCTAAATTGACGACTAGAGCAACAATAGTAAACTGGGGTGGCTGTTTAGAAATGTTTGTACGCGGCGAGTGCGCCGGGAGGGAGAAGCACAAAGAGGAACGGGCTGCGTCGATGTGTGGCACTGAAATTCGTTATTTTGTGGTATGATAGGGTTTCAAGAAGAGCGGACGCCTGCAGGGCGGTAGTACCTAAAAGAAAGGCTGTCTGTGTGGTTACTCACCAGAATTCCAGACGTCGAGGAATGAGTGTATAAGACATGAATTGGAAGCAACGAAAATGTAATTGCTGAAGGGAGGTAAATTAAGAGAGTAATGATAGTGCTCTCAATTGAAAAGCTCGAAGTTCGGCATTGGATACTTTTCAGAGAATTAACCCGTACCAGCTTCTGATTAAATTTGTTGAGAAAAATGAAAAACACTGAAATAATTGAGAATTTGGACATTTTAAAAAGTGTGTGTAATGTGTTTGAAAAATAGTTATGGGGTGTAAATTGCGAATACGTATCGAAGTTGATCTGGTCCTTTTTTAGCTGTACATATGGTGGTTCCTTACGGATCTGTTCCAGTCGTTATTACACTACGAAAACTTGTTTGCAGTTGTTGTCACTCTCTCTAGAGTTACTTCAAGTAATTTAATTTTTCTAAAATTTATTTAATTGTTGTACGTAATAAAGTGATTTCAAGTGCAATGGCGCAGCTCTGTTAGGTTCTGGAAACGGAGAGTTTATTGCTGCTGCCCAGAATAGAGAAGTTGTGTACAATTCGTCGTGATAGTGCGAATTAACAACAAAGGAAAGTATTATGATCTCTAAGAATTATCGCGCTTAATTGTATAGGTTGGAGTCTTTCTCCAGTGAAGCCCTAGTTGTGGATATAGAAGAATAGACGAAAATTGACTGTAGGGAGAGTATGGGGCGGATATTGACATTGAACGATTTCACATGGGGACATATGTTTCGAGGAACCGCATATACTTTTGATCTTCTTAATTGAACCCGGCTTAATGTCTGAATTGGATTTCTATGCTCAATCGTTCGGTGCGACTCGTAGCTCGACCCAGATCTGATGCAATATGCTCGTTTTATCCACTGCTGTTCTGGATTCGCACTCATTTGGTTTTTGTCTTCTCGCTCCGGGCGTGAGGGTGCTCTAGTGACGGTAAGTAGCCGACAGAATTGTTCTGTACGTAACCAAAACACCTTCTATCCAGTTTGGGCTGGCATGCTCATCCCACCACTATCATTTGATCTCCCTCTTTCACTAAGCTCGACCCGCATTTTTCACCCCCCCCCTCCCCCCATCCTTCCCCCGTTATGAGCGCATACGGAAAGCTTCGCTCACACGAAAACGCGTTCGTCCATTATGGAGTGAAGTGAGTGCAGAAAAAATTTTAGACATTGCTCTTTCACTTTATTTTATCTACAGTGCGTACCAAAAGTATGTGGACACCCTAAATCGATTCTCAGGGTCAGCTAAAGGCTTTTTGTGTTATGAAACCTTCACCATTCAACTCCTAGTGGTCGATAACCTACATGACATTTCGGCAAAAGATTTCGTTCTAAGTTTAGCGAACTATTTTTCATGGAAATTTTTTCTTTGTATCAAAGTATAATATGTGGACACCCTGAGGCAGATCAACTTTCTGCACTAATTCCTACCTAGTTATTTTTCTTTCGTCACCTGTTTTGGCATTATTCCTCATACAACAGGTATTTTTTAAAGAGGACCAAGTAGAGATTTTGGTTCCTCATATTGTTGGACCTCCCAATTGCGAAATCTCACGTCAGCCCGGCCGTGCATCCTCGGCCGTTTGTTGGGAAAGAATTCAGAACCCTTATGCTAAGCTCCCAACACTGATCGAGGGTCGTTTTCAATCGTTACTTGTTCAAAAAAAAACAAGAATAGCCTGTACTGTCTCAAAATTTCTTTGGTCTGCTATCCGCGTTCGCGCTTAAATGACTTCCCTCTTATAAAAACCACTCGGTGTTCCATCCAATCGAGTGAGCACACGACACGAGAGAAGATGAAGAAAGCTTCGTGTATGGATGCGCAGCACAGATTGGCAAGGCTGGAATTCCCGTTCAAAAATAAGATCACAACATGGGACGTTGAACCCGGACAGACAGCGCTTTTGTGAAAACTATAAGATAAGAATAAAAGACGCTCTGTGGAAAATTCCCCCTTAGACAACCTCGACTAGTGAGAAAAAGCTTAACTTGCTATTTGGGTGGATCTCGTTGCTAATGGAGGGACCTTCGTCGTGACCCAAAAACTCAAAAAGGCATTTCAGAGAAGGCTCATCAATTATCTGGGGTCGTTTCAAAAGAAGCTGAAAATTGGAGATTGACTTTCCATCATGTCAGGTAGACGATTAGGATTGTAATGAGGGGCTTGGGTCCTGACTTATACCTTTTTCGAGAAGCCAGGTCACAAAACACTTGTTTTGCAGCAAGCCCAAGGGGGTCCCCTACACGTATTCCATTTGGAAAAGAGGCAAACGCGAGGGTTTCGGGTGCTGGATTGGCTGGCGTATTCCTCAGACCACATCGTTATTGAAAACGTAGGGGGATAGTGGTTCACTGCTTCTGCGCCATTAAAGAAAAAGTAGTATCCCAATGTGATTTAACAAGTTGCTGAAATTAGCTCCTTGGGAAGAGTTTGTCGAAACACAGGTATCGGTAACCTGGTTCAGAACATGCCGAACAAAGTGTTTGAACTTATTAGAATTTTTGGTAAGCCTACCAGTCCTTGATTCTAAAGATGTTTCCGCATTTCGAAAAGTGTCATCTTACTTTTGATACAGGGAAAACAGGGGCAAGTTCTTCCATAAATTGAAAAAATTAGCTGCATGTAAAACTGTTGGAAATAAGAAAGTCTAAGGTTTACATACCCGAGAAATCGAATGGTGGGATCTCATGGTGCAAAAGTCAACAGTTTCTCGGAAAAGGAAAAATTTTAGGGTGTCCACATACTTTTGGTACACATGTATCTACTAAGCTTTTTCATAACCGAGTGACTATTTTTTATTAAGCACCGCCAATCTAGAGAACGGGCAAGTGGTGTAGTGTGGAATGATGCTATTCCGCACGCGCGGTCTGGGTATTGAACGCTGGGTCGCGTGTCGTCCGAATGCCATAACTAATGCTTATCCATCCTTCCTGGGTCCGTTTCACATGTAGCGGAAGGTTTAGAGGCGTAAATAACACTTGACCTTGTACATCGCTTATCTGTTCCTGTCAAGTCATTGTATAGGCCAATCGCATAGTTCCATCTTACATTGATGAACAAGATAACGTATCTATGACGGTTGCCGCCATCACAAAATAAAAGTGTTTGGTGCACGTTGCAAATAGTTTTATCTTTTATACTTAATCCTAACCAGTTCCGCCGTAACGCATTGAGTTGTCTCCTATTTTGGATCCGTCGGCATAACTCACAAATTTTTCCGTTCTATTCTCTGGTGCTCTATATCTATTTGGGAATTGAAAATTCCACTTTATCTATTTGATTCATAGTTGCTCTCTGTTATTATTCCTCTTTTGTGTCCTTACCTACTCTATTCGACTGTCTCATTCTTTACTCTTACCTCTTCATGTATTTGCAGATAATTACCTAAAATTCCGTGCTATGCAGTATCATTATAGTGTATAATCATAATAAAGACTAAATATATTATTGAAAAGCGTTTTAAGATCAAGCATATTGAGATCATTTACCTGCAAGATGCCCTTGTGTGACATTCCATTAGTATTGATCGAATAGTATGTGTGCTATACCAAGTTTATTTGTTAAGTTTGCCTTATCACCGATAAGCGCTTCTCCATTGTCGCAACTTCGCAGGGCCTCCCAACTCACCTCCTTTACATGTCCTAAGAACTATGCATAATCTGGATCATTCTTTATTGTATTAAACCACTGGCCGATGCTTTTACCTTCGGCAGAGAGCAACGAGAATCCTCTTATTTTCTCTTGTCTAACCAGTCCGAATTGTCTCGAGAAAAGAATAAGTATCAGTGTATGCAAAAAACGTAGAGAAAACAAGGGAACCAATTCACAAGAGGTTTTCGATGCCCTTCCCTAGGGAAAGGATAACACACGTGGTTGGAGATAGGGACTACCGTGCGCTTCTGATCCCTTTGAATATTTCGTTAGATATTAAGCACTTGCAAGTCTGGCTGGATATGCGTTTATCAGTATTGAATACTGTTATTAGCTAATAAATTAAAAAGCGATCGTGGCTTCTAAATTTGTAATCGAATCCAAGTTTCTATTTTACATTCAACAAAATCACAGCGTTATAATCTGATTTTTATTTACAATCCTTATTCATGATTCTGATTAATATTCAAAGAGTACAATTTTTCAGATGGTAATCGATTACTATGAGTCATTGATCACTTCTCAAAATGAATGACGTCACTTGATAATGCAAATCACAGCAGTTCTAATTATTTGTACATTTTATGCAATAAATATTGTGTCGTAGCTACCAAACAAACATAAAGAGGAGATCGTCAAGTTATGACTTGGGGGGGGGGGAGAGAAGCAAGCGAGCATCTTCTAATTCTGTTCTAATTTATTCTACAAAAAGTTCATTTACTTCTATGTTTTTCAATACAATCGAATATTTGAACCAACCAGAATGTGAAGTTGACTAGATTCAAATGAAAAGAAAATAGAACCATTATACATGAGCATTAAGACCTCTCCGTAATACGGCTCAGCATTCGTTTATGCGCTGCATTAAACTGTTCCCCAGAACCGAGCTTTTCTACGGTAGCCCTCAAGGCGCTAGTCTTGGAGTCATGATCCATATCATCTCGAACATCGGCTTTAGTCCACGATTCGATCTGCAAAGTGTTAATTACGCTGAATAACAAATTGATCTAGATTTCTAAGACACCGAAGGGTTTGATGTCACTGATGTGAATTGAGGAGCTATTTACCGTAGCCTGCATGGAATCCACTGGAACCCTATCTCCTTTGAATGATGAAATGATCTCGCCGACTTTGTCCACGAAATGTTCTATGAGCTTCTGAGTGGGTTAAAATGAAGTAAAGTGACATAGGATCAAGATTTCAGAACTTGAACTGAACGAACCTTCCTTTCGTAACTTCTCCGCCTAAGCCGCTGAACAAACTCTTCTCTTTCCCAAAAACTTTCGCACACAATTTGTATAGTCTTCTGGTTGTATCTTTCTGTTTTCAAAAGCTTTTCGCATCTTCTTTCTAGATCAACCACTGCAGCATAAAAATACAAGTTAGCGGTATTAGAGTAAAGTAACACCCCGGACAAAAAGGACTCACCCCTTTGCTCTAGATCTGTTACTTGGTTTCTCAAATACTGGATGGCGATTAAAGACTTGTCATTCTCGTCCTTCAAGGAGATAACTTCACGCTTTTCTCTGAAGAAGATTGTTGAAAAGAGAAGAAAATCAGCAAATTACAAAACAACTTTTCCAAATCAGCACGAGCGTCCTCTAGGTTTTTCTGGAGCTCATCAATTATGCTGTTGGCTTTTCTAACCTCATCCTGAGATTCCTGAACAAGTAATGCATCAGAACATGCAGCTGAAGACATCATTTCACAAGAAAAGGTCGTCATAGCCACTGGATATAAGATCACGTGTGACTTATGCCCTTTCTTCATGAAAGGCTGATCTCAAATCTGGGGTCGAATGCAGCAAGCCCCAACGGGGGGATGGGAACCCATCCCCTCACCCCAAGGTTGGCGATATATCCTCAACCTTGGGGATATAACCCCCAACCCAACAAGGAGGTGAATCCCTTCACCCCACGCTGAGAACAAGACTGTTCCATCACGGTGAGGTGGTTAGATGCATTCTTCCCTAATGAGCAGCCATTGCGTTTTGGGATCCCTTTCTTGTTACTTCAAAAACAAAAACTAAACGACTAGAAAATCTCAAGTAACTCACCTGATCTAACTTCTGGAACTCTATCATGAGCTGTGCGGCGTTGTCCCTTTCAGCAGATATTGCTTCCATTTCTTCTGACTGCTTCCGAAGCTTAACTCTGTACTGCTCAATCTGTATCTTCGCCGCATTCAACTCGGACCTGTAAATAATTTTTAAAAACGCAGCTATATTAATGGGAACGATAATGCTCACATGACGCTCATTCTCTCTCTCTGAACACTCGTGACCTGATCAGCTTGACGACGAAAACGATCTAACTGCAGCTGCAAATCCTCACGCTCTATGTTCCACTTCAGCTTTTCTGAGCTGAAAAAATGTTTGGGTAATGAAGTAAGAAGACATGATATAAACAGTAACTAACCTTATCCTCTTTTCAAGGATTTCTTTATCATCACATATTGCCCTCAGCTCTTGCCTAGCACGTTCTGCAGCGTCAGAAAAATGCTGATGGCACTCCTTCAGAAAATGCACCACCTGTAGTGTGTCGAAGCCTTGATTTTTTTTAGTGGATGTGTTCAAATTTTTGATGCAAATTATTGATTAGCAGAAAGACCCGTACGAAGTTTTAACTCTGAGCAAAACATTATTTGGTAAAACTTACAGCTGTGTCAATCACTGTGCTTCTTTGCTCGCGCTTGGCACAAGTAAGCAGTCGTTTGAGTTCATCCTGCATGTACGACGAGGAAGGGTAAGAGTCAGGCTGAACTGTGTCTATCATATTGATCGCTACAATTCAAGTGAATGAATCTAAGCAACGAAGACTCACATCGCGGAAATTTTCGACGGATGTAATCAATCGACTTATTGGAAGCTCGCCTTCCTCCTCCTCCAGACGATTAACGGATGTTTGCGTTTCTACGTTACACTTCTCAAGAGGTAGTGGTGGACTTCCTTGAAATTAAATTGATTAAATAGTTTAGCAATGTAGACTAAAGGTGACGCGTATGACCAAGTAATAAGGATGTTGGGCACACTAACCTTGCCGATCATCGTTATCGGTTGGCAGTGCTGTAGGTATGGCTACGAAAATTTCGCGCATCTCTCTGATAGCTTCAGCAACAGACGGCGATTCCTAAAAGGGAACAGTGACTCTACAATAGAAGGGTGTGGGAAAACCTAAAATACTCACAGTAGCAGCCTTTTCTGCAAGCTCTCGAACAGCCGGCGAAATATAATCGTAAATCGAGCGAGTAAACCCTTCTGTTCTTTCATCACTGACTCCATAAGCACAGCGCTTATCGTCGATTGAAATAAATTGACCGAAAAAACCCATTCAAGAATTCCATACAAGAGAAGTTACGGAAATGACCATTACATTAAAGGCAAGATTGAAAAGTGAAACATAACTTTGGGCGGACAGTATCAGGTTGGGACTTCTGTGAATTCTTCACGAACAAAGAAAACCGAAAGACCAGAGGTATGCACGATCAGGGCTGACCGCTTGTCAATAGCTTTCTTGTAGCTTGTGATTCGTTCCTCTCACAACGGGGGGGGGGGGAGGGAAGGGACTGACGCTAGAGATGAGTGAAAAGCAAGTAGTCAGAAGATGCAAGGACCGGATTGTACTGAGATTATGAGAGTTCATACAGCCGTAGCTTCTTACTTCGCGGAGGGTTGTCTTAGCAGAGTGGAAGCTGACTGCCGCTCCCAATCCATAAGTACCACCAAAGTACGCCTTTAGTCTCTTGAGCCCTGTAACCTACGTATCTGCCGTATCTGCACCGATGATCTGCTTTGGCAGAGGCTTCCGGTGTTATAGGCAGCCAAAGGACCGTTCAAATAACGACAGAATTTTTTTACACTGGAAATCGTGCCTCAAGACGGATACCGAATCTTCTGTCTTGTTGACGGGAAGCTGCTTCCCCACAGTATTCCCGCGTTTCGACGCACCTTCAGGGCAAATTACAACAACTGCAAACTCACTTCAATCAATCGACCGGACCCCAGGTAATTTGGAGAGAGTACTCACTCTTTTAGGTTTTTTTTGCGGGCCGGACCTTGTCCATGTCATATGAAAGGGCACTACCTCTCAGATATCCACATTCCTGTTATATCATTCCTTTGGGTATGAACCTGAAGAGTGGAGAAAAAGGGGAGGGTGGCGAGGTGCACTCTGTCGAGTTGGAATATTGGCTGCATTGTGGCTTCCAAGTGCGAGACGGATGGCCGTGAGCGGGTAGAGAGAGAAAGGCTCCTGCACACTCGACGCATGCCTCACGACATCATATAAATAGGCTTACACTGGAAGTACGGGTCGATTAAACATAACCGGGATACCTCACGTACAACCTGATAGAATAAGAAGTAAGAGATGGTACAGATATGATGAATGTCAATCCTCCTGTTCAGGCAGGAGGTCTATGTAAAAGGAGAAAAATATTTGTTCGAGGAAGCAATTCACGTGAACTCCAGTTTTACCTGGATAAGACTCCAATTGAGCTAGGCGATATGAAAGTGCATCAATCTGTCCACGCTTTTCTTCCACCATTTCACAATATTGCTGTTCTGCTAACTCCTAAACGGCTCGTTCGCTAAATACTGCTATAGCTGAATGGTATTGCAGCACGAGAAACCAAAAGAGTAAAATTGCAGTCATTTTTTAAATATAGCAAAGGTGATGGAGTTGAAATTGTACGATTAGAAGCACCAATAACACACCTGAAAAACGCGGAAGTCCTCACGCACTCTGTCACATTCATCATTAATTTTATCCAGCCGATGTCCAAGGTTCGTTATCTCCGCAGACTTTTCTACCTTAATCATGAAAAACCTTAGCAGCCGAACAAATCGAACACTCGTTTGGGAATCATACCAACGCATCTTGTAACTTTGCTTCCACGGATCGTAGGTCAGCCACAATTTC